AAATGAACCATCAACCTAGAGACCTACCACCAAACTTCCTGGTGTCAGATGAAACATCAATCTAGAGACCTACCACTAAACCTCCTGGTGTGAAACGAACCATCAACCTAGAGACCTACCACCAAAATTCCTGCAATCAGATGAACCATCAACCTAGAGACCTACCACCAAACTACCTGGTGTCAGAGGGACCATCGACCTAGAGATCTACCACCAAACTTCCTGGTGTCAGACAAACCATCAAACTTCCTGGTGTTAAACAAACCATCAACCTAGAGACCCTACCATCAAACTTCCTGGTGTCAGATGAACCATCAACCTAAAGACCTATCACCAGACTTCCTGGTGTCAGATGAACCATCAACCGAAAGACCTACCACCAGACTTCCTGGTGTCAGATGAACCATCAACCTAGAGATCTACCACCAAATGTCCTGGTGTCAGATGGACAGTCAATCTAGAGACCTACCACCAAATTCCTCATGTCAGATGGACAGTCAATCTAAAGACCTACCACCAAATTCCTCATGTCAGATGGACAGTCAATCTAGAAACTACCACCAAATTCCTCGTGTCAGATGAACAGTCAATCTAGAGACCTACCACCAAATTCCTGGTGTCAGATGGACAGTCAATCTACAGACCTACCACCAGACTTCCTGGTATCAGATGAACCATCAACCTAGAGATCTACCACCAGGTTTCCTGGAGTTAGATGGACAGTCAATCTAGAGCGTTAACCACCGAATGTTTCTTAAAGATGGTGAGATATCTACTCTTGAGTTCCAAGTTCTGCATACTCGTCATGAGGTTTATGAAGAGCTTGGAGTCTTCCAATTGGATTTTGAAAGCAAGGTCCAGCCAGAGAACCTCCACAAAACCATGCTCCTCATCCCTCTCTAGTTAAACACCTCAGTCTTCAAAGAAAAAAAAAAAAACTAATCCACATACTCGCCTAAATCTATGGTCCTGTGATGTGCCGAGTCCTCAGTCTTCTCTGTTCTGGACTATAGAGTTGGAGGCTCATTTATGGGGTCCACATCTCCAACTGGTGCTGTGGACACTTCCCATTGGCAGAGTCCTCACAGGTATTGAAGACTCTAGTGGTGGTGTGGTGACATCACAATGAGGGGTGGTGAAAAGAACAGTTGGCGTGGGGGTGCGCCTGAACTACAGTGGTGGATGACTGGTTTTCAGTACCAAAAGAGGCACCAGGTAAGATCAAATGACAGAGGATTCAGATAGGTTAAAAAAGGCATTGGAAGGGTTTAACAGGTGGGACCGAGGTTGGGGGCTCTAATGGGGACACTGATGTAAGGGGGGACTCTGATGGGAACCCTGATGTAAGGTCGACTCTGATGGAGAACTTGATGTAAAAGGGGACCTTGATGGGGATTCTGATGTAACGGGGGGCTCTGATGGAGAACTTGATGTAAGAGGGGACCTTGATGGGGATTCTGATGTTGATGTAAGAGGGGACCTTGATGGGGATTCTGATGTAACGGGGGGCTCTGATGGAGAACGTGATGTAAGAGGGGACCTTGATGGGGATTCTGATGTAACGGGGGGCTCTGATGGGAGCTTTGATGTAAGAGGGGACTGTGATGGGGATCCTCATGTAATAGGGTACTCTGATGGGGATTTTTTTGGTCTACTAAAATGTTTTAAATATATTATGGATTCAAATAGGTTTAAAGGGGCATCAGAAGGGTTTAACGGGTTGGACTGAGTTTTGGGGCTTTGATGGGGACCCTGATGTAAGGGGGGCTTTGGTATTGAACTTGATACAAGGGGGGACTCTGATAGGAACCCTGATGTAATGGGGGGACTCTGATGAAGAACATGATGTGAGGGGGGAGTTTGATGGGGATCCTGATGTAAAGGGGGAACTATTGGAGAACTTGACACAAGGGGTGTCTCTGATGGGGATCCCGTTGTAAGTGAAAAGGAAAGGTTTAATGGGTGAGACTGAGGTTGTGGTCTCTGATGGGGACCCTGATTTAAGGGGGGACTCTAATGGGAACCCTGATGTAAGGGGGGACATTGACAGGAAATAGGACTCTGATGGAAACCCTAATGCAAAGGGTACTATGATTGGGACCCTGATGGAAAACTTAGGTACTTTGATAGGCATCCTGATGTAAAGGGGGAATCTGATAGGAACCCTGATATAAGTGAGGGACCCTGATGTAAGGGGGGGACTATGATGGGAACCGTGATGGAGAACTTAATGTAAGGGGGGACTTTGATGGGGATTCTGATGTAAAGGGGGACTCTGATGGGAATCCTGATGTAAGGGGAGGCGCTGATGGGGACCCTCATGTATGGGTATATTTTTAGATCTGCGATTTTTTTGTAAAATATATGATGTGGCATTCGTACTGAAAAGTTTGAGGACCCCTGGACTAACTGATTTATCCTGGTAAATGCCACCATACTTTGGTGAAGAGCATCAGCTGGTGTGTGTTCTCTGATGTCTAATTAGATTTCCTTTACGTGTAAAACCTTTCCCGCACTCTGGGCATGAAAACGAACCTTCATCTTTGTGTTTTTCCTGATGTTTAAGTAGGCTTGTTTTCCGCGTAAAACATTTCCCGCATTCCGAGCATGAAAAAGGACGCTCCCCGGTGTGACTTCTCTCGTGTGTAATCAGGTTTGTTTTCACATTGAAACGTTTCCCGCAATAAGAACAGGAATAAGGACTTTCACCTGTGTGAATCCTCTGGTGTGTGAGAAGGTCTGTTTTCCGAGAGAAACGTTTCCCGCACTCTGAACACGAATAAGGACGCTCCCCTGTGTGAATTCTCTGGTGTATACGAAGTTCTGCTTTCCGAAGGAAACATTTCCCGCACTCGGAGCACGAGTAAGGCCGTTCCCCTGTGTGAATTTTCTGATGAATAACAAGTTTTCCTTTCTCAAAGAAACTTTTTCCGCAAAACGCACATGAATGGGGCCGAGTACACGTGTGGTGTGCAAAAAGTTCACATTTGTCAGACAAAGATTTCCCACACTCTGCATGTGACACAGGAACATCAGTGTGAGATCTAAGATGGACTAGCAGTTCAGATCTCACTTTAAATGTTTTCCCACACGCCAGACAAGACAATGAGCCCTCGCCTGTGTGAGAACCTTCATGGCTGAAAGAAGATTGCTTGGGATTAGATGGATCTGTTGACCTATCTGAAGACAAATTATGTGGATTATCAGAAGATTCCTCTGAAGGATTATGAAGATAGCGTCCATCTGTTGGGAAACAATTTTTAAATAAAAATAAATGTTTGTTTCAGGCAGGAAGCATTTACAGTAGACTTCTCAAACAGTCAACAGTTATCCTGAATAATATTAAAATTATTAATGATAAAATCCTCCTAATTTGTTGGGAACATGACGTTATATGGAGGAATGGAGATGGACCTTCCATAAGGTGTCCAGTATCTCCTCCTCATTTGTTGGGAACATGACGTTATATTGAGGAATGGAGATGGACCTTCCATATGGTGTCCAGTATCTCCTCCTCATTTGTTGGGAACATGACGTTATATTGAGGAATGGAGATGGAGATGCCTTTCATATGGTGTCCAGTAACTCCTCCTCATTTGTTGGGAACATGACGTTATATTGAGGAATGGAGATGGACCTTTCATATGGTGTCCAGTATCTCCTCCTTATTTGTTGGAAACATGACCTCATATTGAGGAATGGAGATGGACCTTCATATGGTGTACAGTATCTCCTCCCCATTTGTTGGGAACATGACGTTATATTGAGGAATGGAGATGGACCTTCCATATGGTGTCCAGTATCTCCTCCTCATTTGTTGGGAACATGACGTTATATTGAGGAATGGAGATGGACCTTTCACATGGTGTCCAGTATTTCCTCATTTGTTGGGAACATGACGTTCTATTGAGGAATGGAGATGGACCTTCAATATGGTGTCCAGTATCTCCTCCTCATTTGTTGGGAACATGATGTTATATTGAGGAATGGAGATGGACCTTTCATATGGTGGACAGTATCTCCTCCTCATTTGTTGGGAACATGACGTTCTATTGAGGAATGGAGATGGACCTTTCATATGGTGTACAGTATCTCCTCCTCATTTGCTGGGAACATGACGTTATATTGAGGAATGGTGATGGACCTTCCATATGGTATACAGTATCTCCTCATTTGTTGGGAACGTGACGTTATATTGAGGAATGGAGATGGACCTTTCATATGGTAGACAGTTTCTCCTCATTTGTTGGGAACGTGACGTTATATTGAGGAATGGACATGGACCTTTCATATGGTGGACAGTATCTCCTCATTTGTTGGGAACGTGAAGTTTTATTGAGGAGTGGAGATGGACCTTTCATATGGTGTCCAGTATCTCCTCCTCATTTGTTGGGGGAGTGGAGATGGACCTTTCATATGGTGTCCAGTATTGAACATGGTTCTAATGGAATGGATGGGCCTTTCATATGGTGTACAGTATCTCCTCATAAAACATAAAGGTTTTATGTAAAATGTAAAATATTCATTAGAATGTTGATGAGAGGCGGGAGAGAGGTACCAGGGTGTTGAGGCAAAATGTAAAACGGCTGACACAATTTTTCACATTTATCATATAGTGACTTTGTCAGATGAAATTGGCAGTGATCCACCATTTATAATCCATTCTTCTCTTAAAAGATTAGGAGAAGGTCTGTGGATTTCATTCTATACATTTTATACTCGCTGGAGTAAAATGAAAGTGTAAAAGGTTTCTGCATTGATTACCTGTGCCGATGACGTCTAGATCAGATTCCTCGTCTTTAATTGTCACGGTAGTCACCTGATCATCCATCTCATACATCTCTTCTTCTTCCTCTTTAATCTTAACTTTCATGGTAACAATTTCTTCATCCTAAACCAACAAAAGGACAGCAAATAATATCTCAAAAAGAGTTCTAATAACCAAAAAACACACAGATGGATATAATCTCTTAAAGTTTGGAGTCACTCTTGAGTTCCAGACCCGAATCACCACCTACCTGATCATTGTGAGGGATGGCGTGATCTTCCTGTGTGGAATCCAGAGGACGGGTACTTCTCTCTGGTGGGTTCCCCTTACTGGATTCACCTGTAGGAAACACACACACTGACTGAATCAGTTGATCAGATGATGGGGGATCTAGGTGGACCATCCATACTGCTCTCTCCTTTACAATAAAGTCTCCTCTTACCTGGTGATGTGAGGGGCGGCTGAAGCTCCATCATGACTTCCTTGGAGAGATCTTTGCGTCCTTCTAAATACGCCTTCAGAGAGACCGTCACATCCTGACACACATAATGATACAGTCACCATCCAGACACATCCCTTGTCTGTTACTGAATAATGTCCCAGAATTCCCGACACCGCTCACCTCTCCTGTCAGCAGCTTAATGATCTTCTTGGTGACTTCTAGAATTGTCTTAGCACTGTTTTTCTTCTTTGTTGTCAGGCAGTGAGTTGGAGGCACTGTGATGGACGACGACCTGTGAAGTCCACTATTGGGTGTCAATGGATCACCAGATGTTTTCTTCACTACTGCATGATCCTGAGTAGACAGAAGAAGAAACCATTGTTACTACAAACACTCCCAGTATTCCCCTTGTGCTTTCAATAAAGCATGGGTCCCTGAAAAATAGGGGTCATCCAAATTAAGTAATCTCCCAAAATCCTCCTCACCTCCCCAGTCAACAGGTAGATGATCTCCAAGGTGAGGTCTAATATCCTCCCAGACATGTGATTCCAATCCTTCTCCATCCTCATTGATGTGGTTAAGTGATATACACAGGACACTACTCCCTGTGGACAAATAATAAATTGAGAGTCAGGTGGACTGTACCGGGATAAATAATGACTGCACTGCTTCTTATACTATATTACAGGACTCTTTGTAAAGGGATCATTCTGGTAACCCAACATGACAGGCAATGGCCAAAGGAAAAGCTTTCTTGTCATGAACTACATGCCCTGGGTAAATCAATAAAGATCAGTGCATTGATCAATTTATAGCTTTATATGATGTCATATATCTGATGACCAGAGGCTCTGGATGGACGGTTGGATAAAAATGGCTCTATATTTAGGATGTATCCGGTCTATAAACCAGAGGCTCTTGGACGGTTGGATAAATGGCTCTATATTTAGTGGATGGACGGTTGGATAAATGGTTCTATATTTAGGACGTATCCGGTCTATAAACCGAGGCTCTGGATGGACGGTTGGATAAATGGTCTATATTTAGGACGTATCCGGTCTATAAACCAGTGGCTCTGGATGGACGGTTGGATAAATGGTTCTAAAGGATGTATCCGGTCTAGAGGCTCTGGATGGACGGTTGGATAAATGGTTCTATATTTAGGATGTCTATCCAGGGCTCTGGATGGACGGTTGGATAAATGGTTCTATATTTAGGATGTATCCATAAACCATAAAAGACGTCACGATGACAATGGAGGAAGAGGATGGACATGACGATGGATGAAGAGGACGGACATGACGGGGGGTTACTGGATGTAAATATAAAATAAGATCCTATGGGCAGCACAGTGGCTAAATGGTTAGCACTTCCGCCTGGCAGTATTAGGGTCATTGGTTCAAAACCCGGCCGCGGTGCCTGCTGCCTGGAGTTTGCATGTTCTCCCTGTGCCTGCGTGGGTTTCCTCCGGTTTTCGCCCACACTCCAAAGACATACTGATAGGTTAATTGGATCCTGTCTAAATTGGCCCTTGTATATGAATGTAAGTTAGGGACCTTAGATTGTACGCCCCTTGAGGGTCAGGGACTTATGTGAATGTACAATATAAATGTAAAGCGCTGCGTAAATTGACGGCGCTATATAAGTACCTGAAATAAATAAATAATAAATTACCTCCTCTGCTGCCAGTTCCGACAATGTCTCCTCTCTACTTCCTTCTAAGGCACCTCCCAACCAGAACTTCCTGTTGGTACCTGACATGACTTCCTCTCTGCTCACATCACTTCCTGTGTGTCCAGCCATAGTAGATGGCATCACCACCTTGTGGGGAACATTATAGCTGCAGCTTATGTTGTTTTTCATGATTTGACCTCCACGTAGTTGCATGCAAGGGCGGACCTACCATTTGGAAACTTGGGCTCTGCCCGAGGGCCCGGGGTCAGTAGGGGGCCCCATGAGATGCCCCTGGTACCTTTTTCATAGGCTTTTTTGAGTTTGGGCAAGGACACAGGGGCCCCATGATCCCCTATTGCCCGGGGGCCCCATGAGTTGTCAGTCTGCCCCTGGTTGCGCACCTTCCATTATGTTCCATACTACTACACATACATATTGGGGTTGATTTACTAAAGGCAAATAGACTGAGTGCCCTGCAATTGCAGTTGCTCAGGAGAGTAGTAAATGAGAGGAAGCTCTGGTGACTTCCATCATCCAGTCATGCACAAGAAAAAAGAAAAAAACTCTTGATAGGGTTCTAAAATTCTACATTTCAACCGCTTGCCCTCCACACCAGGGAGGATCCCCCACCATCCACACACTCGAAGCAGGTCAGTTTTTTCTGTTTACCATTGACTGGTCTATAACCGTAAAGTAAAACAGAGTGCGCACTGGCCTAGTGAAGTGTCCTTAAAACATCATTTGTATTATACTCACAAAATGACAAATGCATCAAAAGCTCTACAGAACCAACATCCAGTCTAAAATTCATCATGTAGTACCGTCCTAGATAGCTAGGGGGAGCTAGTGCTCAGCAGAGGCAGCCTGTGGTGATCATCAGAGGCAGGTTAAAATCGGGTCAGAGCTGAGAGGCTCTGCAGGCCAGTTACTGGATACCTTCCCCTGCTCTGGAATCTTGGAGAGGATTCTAGAAGCAGTGGGTGGGGGTGGGGAGGGGCTTATACCACTGATGGGGTACTATTCCTCCTACTGACACCAATGATGGGGTACTATTCCTCCTACTAACACTAATTCCTCCTACCACTAACACTAATGATGGGCCAACAATGGGACACTATTCCTCCCACTGAAACCTATTCTTCCCATGATATAGGGCACTATTCCTCCCACTGACACCAATGATGCACATTCCTCCTACTGACACCAATGGGGACACTATTCCTCCCACTGGCACCAACAATGGGACACTATTCTTCCCACTGAAACCAATGATAGGGCACTATTCCTCCCACTGACACCAATGATGGGGCACTATTCCTCCTGACACCAATGATGGGGCACTGACACCAATGTTGGGACACTATTCCTCCCACTGGCGCCAATGATGGGGCACTATTCCTCCTACCAACACCAATGATGGGGCACTATTCCTCCTACCGACCTGACACCAATGATGGGGCACTATTCCTCCCACTGACATCAATGATGGGGCACTATTCCTCCTACTGACACCAATGTTGGGACACTATTCCTCCCACTGGCGCCAATGATGGGGCACTATTCCTCCTACCGACACCAATGATGGGGCACTATTCCTCCTACCGACACCAATGATGGGGCACTATTCCTCCCACTGACACCAATGATGGGGCACTATTCCTCCTACTGACACCAATGTTGGGACACTATTCCTCCCACTGGCGCCAATGATTGGGCACTATTCCTCCCACTGACACCAATGATGGGGCACTATTCCTCCTGACACCAATGTTGGGACGCTATTCCTCCCACTGGCACCAATGATCGGGCACTATTACTTATATTATAGCTGTGCATCTAAGCTAGTTTTGACTAGTCTTGGCTGCAATGTCCAACTATAATACTGTGGTCCTGTGTCCCAGTGGTGAAGAAGCTGTTCTCTGACGGAATCACCCAATCAGGGTGACAGGCGTTCTGTCACATTTGGTGGCAAGCGGTGGGATTTGCTTCCTCCTTACGGAGTAGTTCCAACCCACCAGCAGGACTCTCTTCACCTACAGCAGAAGGAACATCTCTACACCAGCCTCAAGAGCAGCACCTTGAAGGATCTCCTGTAAGCCCGTGGAAGAGTCGCCAGAAGTAAATCCAAAGTGACTCTCACCGCCGAACTAATGGAGGGCGACCGGGCCAGCAACCCACTATCAGATGCCTCAGAGTTGTCAGAGTTCCTGTTTGGTATCTAAGCTAGTCTCATCTAGTCTTGGGTGCAATGTCCAACTATAATACCGTAGTCCTGTGTCCCAGTGGTGAAGAAGTGGTTCTCTGACGGAATCACCCAATTGGGGTAACAGGCATTCTGTCACATTTGGTGCCAAGCGGTGGGATTTGCTTCCTCCCTACATAGTAGTTCCAACCCACCAGCAGGACCCTCTTCACCTACAGCAGAGGGAACATCTCTACACCAGCCTGGAAGTAGCCTGAAGGCACCCTGGTTGCAAAAGGCTGTCCTACACTGTGATGTCCACTCATTCTCCTAAAGTTTGAGGTCCATTTATGTGGCTACATTGTAATGTCCCACTAGTACTAAGGGATCTACACCCTGAGGAATAATGTCAGTCCACCCTGTCTCTGGGGGTACCACCACCCATCTGTGGGTCTAGGGGGTGCTACCATGGTCCCACTATATAGGAACATAGCCACACTCTCTTGTCAGCTCCCAAGATGGACTATAGACTGAAGGGAAATGTATGTCCTTTTTGTCTGTCATTTTGTTTTCCCTCTCCATTTTATATCTTGTACTCCATGTTGATTGTTTTATATTATACCCAGAATGAGTTCATGAAAATATGCTGTGTCAGTTATGTGTTACAGAACTGTGCTCACACATTCTTTTGTTTTTTATCTTAGCTTAGCCTTGGTAGAGGCAGGGAAAGTATCCAGTTATTTCATTGTACTAACAGCATTTGTTTGTACTATGCTACTGTTAAAAGTTAACCACTTCTGCTCCATGGGAAAATAACTGTTGGTTTCTTAGAACTGATTCAAGGTCTGAGAAACCTAAATTATTCACGTGCACAGCCTTGACAAGTATACAGTAAAATTCCATTCTATGATTCTCTGTTACAATTTATCATATATAAGGAGGAATATTATGAATAAAGATTAGACTGTTCTTTGGAAGCTGGTGTGCATTTCTTTCTTGCAGAGAACAGTCTCTTGGGCCAACGGGGGGGGGGGGGGGG